TGTTGTTGTTGTTGTTGTTGTTGTTGTTGTTGTTGTTGTTGTTGTTGTTGTTGTTGTTGTTGTTGTTGTTGTTGTTGTTGTTGTTGTTGTTGTTGTTGTTGTTGTTGTTGTTGTTGTTGTTGTTGTTGTTGTTGTTGTTGTTGTTGTTGTTGTTGTTGTTGTTGTTGTTGTTGTTGTTGTTGTTGTTGTTGTTGTTGTTGTTGTTGTTGTTGTTGTTGTTGTTGTTGTTGTTGTTGTTGTTGTTGTTGTTGTTGTTGTTGTTGTTGTTGTTGTTGGTTGTTGGTTGTTGGTTGTTGGTTGTTGCTTGCTGGTTGCTGTTTGCTGTTTGCTGTTTGCTGTTTGCTGTTTGCTGTTTGCTGTTTGCTGTTTGCTGTTTTTTGTTTGTTGTTTGTTGTTGTTTGTTTGTTGTTTGTTGTTTGTTTGTTTGTTTGTTGTTTGTTGTTTGTTGTTTGTTGTTCGTTGTTTGTTGTTCGTTTTTCGTTGTTCGTTTTTCGTTGTTTGTTGTTTGTTGTTTGTTGTTTGTTGTTTGTTGTTGGTTGTTGGTTGTTGGTTGTTGGTTGTTGTTTGTTGTGGTTGTGGTTGTGGTTGTGGTTGTGGTTGTGGTTGTGGTTGTTGTTGTGGTTGTTGTTGTTGTTGTTGTTGTTGTTGTTGTTGTTGTTGTGGTTGTTGGTTGTTGTTGTTGTTGTGGTTGTTGTTGTTGTTGTTTGTTTGTTTGTTTGTTTGTTTGTTTGTTTGTTTGTTTGTTTGCTGTTGGTTCTTGGTTCTTGGTTCTTGGTTCTTGGTTGTTGGTTGTTGGTTCTGGGTTTTGGTGGGTTTTGGGTTCTTGTTATTGTTCTTGTTTTTGTTCTTGTTCTTGTTCTTGTTGTTGGTGGTGGTGGTGGTGATGGTGGTGGTGGTTCGTTGCTAATTGCTGGTGGTTGGTTGTTGATTGGTCGTTGGTCGTTTGTCGTTTGTGGTTTGTTGTTTGTTGTTTGTTGTTGGCAGCTGCTGCTGCTTTTCTTCTTCTTTTGCTCCGCCCTCTCTCATCTCATTCGGTCCCGTCGTCCGCCCCTGTTGTTGTTCGTGTTCTTGTTGTGCTTGTTCTTGTTGGTCTTCTTGATTTTCTTGTTGTCATAGAGGATCTAGCTGTTCTTGTGCTTGCTGAGTCGCGAGTCACAAAACGCATGCCACGCACATGTTGAGCACGCTCGCCGCCCACAATTTTTGTTTTCGGAAAACACGCCAGGCACAGGCGACACACACTTGCCACGGCACACGCCTTGTACATATATACATATTTGGGTGTTCCAGGCCCTCTTTTGACCAATTTGGCTGGAATTCCGCGAATTCAACTCAGCTTGTACGCTGGAAGCCCAGTTTTGCCCAGTTTTGCTATCTGACGCTTGACCGTGGTAGCCTCAGGGTTTGGCCGCTGGAAGGCCCTCACCTAAAATCGGTGTTCCAATAGGGACATTCGAGGAATGTCTGCATGGGTGTCCTGTTTTTGATGGTACTCTTTCTGGGATGGTTTTAAAGGGAAACCTAAAGGAGCACCCACCATTTTGGGGAGCCCTACCAAAGGGACACCCATAAGCGAATGAAAATCCAGCCGCGGGTTTTCCATCGCCCGCTGGACAGGGCGCTGGGGCACTGCCCAAGGAGCCGCTTGTGGCGAAGGCCTCGAGCCGAATCGCGAGTCGGAAGCGAAGTTTCGTGCAGAACAGCGGGCCGTTGGCTTGACGAAAGAGTTCATGGCTGCCTTTGGACCATGGCTCAAACGGGTATGATTCAAAGGGACCGACAAGTTTCGGCTCGACCATTTCGATCGAGGTAAGCCATGGCTTGGAAACGTGCCTTCGACACATGTCCAAGAAAGGGACGGCCTTGCTTGCCTCAAGGAGTCCTTATTATGCAACAACGGTCATTCACAAGGATTCAATAAACCATCCCCAACAATCAGTTGTGACCACGTCATCAATGGGGACATTTTGCTTGGAATCAAGGGCGGGGTTTGGTCCTGTATCACTGCTCTTTTTCTTGGAAGCAATGTGGGTTTGTGTCAAAATAGGAGACCCCCTACATGGTGATGTTCCATTTGGTCTCCGAGCCCAAATTAGCTACTTGGGGAAATTTGCACTCCCTCCCCCCTCCTGTAAATTATTGGCAAGCTGAAGGCAATGCCTGCAAGCTGAAGCTAAAAATGCCTGGCGCATTTCGAGCCTTTTCTGCCGATCACTCCTCGTAGGAAGAGGTCTGATGGCCTTTTGGCAGTTTTGCCTTTTGCTGCACCTACATCGCAGTTGCAGTAGAAGGATGTTTACATCGGTTGTTTCCTTCTAGCATCGCAGTTGCAATTGCCTTCTGGTTTCTCGCAGATGCAGTAGAAGGACTCGGAAGGAACTCGGAGGCCGCGCCCCGAACAAAGTGTGGAATCGGCTAGCGCTGTGCAGATAGGATGAAGCACCCTGTAAATAGATACTGCCAGTAAACCACCCACACTGAACCCACACAACCTTGGGGGCAAATTAGAGCAAACTAGATCAATCTTGGGCAAATGGCAGTACATTGGATCACACAACCATGGTAAATTTGCAGTAAGTTCGCTTTTCCCGAATGCGCAGCGAAGGGTTCCCGTTATTAAGTGGGTCTGGGGGGTAAGGTCATGATTTTTGTTTGTTTTCCGTCTTCTTCCGCTTGCCACCTGAGCCACAATCAAAACCCGGGTAGATGAAGGTGAGTAAGGGAAGCTCCCAACCATAAATAGCTGCGGATATCCGCCTTCTTAATCCTGTACATGGTTCTGGGTAGACCATGTTAATACCGGGCTTTGATTAGGAGCTCAAAGACTCTCATGTGTAGAGGAACTTCCATTGAATGGGCACCATCTTAACACGCCCTCGATAAAAGGGGAACTTGAAGTGTTCAGAAGGAGATCTTGAACATGTTCGCGGTTAAGACTCACCGACACAGAACAGAGCTACATGTGGGATATGCTTCGGCTCCTTGCATTCGCTGAAGTGGGGCCTGCGTAAGACATGTCGCTGCTCGCAAGGTTCTCGGCCTCGTTTTCCTTCCGGTGCTATGTTCCCAGGCGCTCTTCCGCCGGGCCAAGGGGCGAATCGGCCTCTCGGATGCGCGGTGGCCTGGTGGCCACGTGGAGCGCGAGACGAGCTGGAGAGAAGTTGCGGAAGGGAACCCCTTGGAGTTCGTTTTTTTTTTTGTTGCAGTGGTTGTCTGCTTCCGGAGCTTTGGTTTGATTTGTGTCGGCAGATGATATTGTCTGATCATTCCGGAGTTTTTGGGTTGAATAGTGCCGACGGATTCGTTTTGTAGTGGCATTTGCACAAACATGCCCGATGGATGTTGAAGTACGAGAAAGCTGGAGACATGTGAGGTTCGGCAAATCCAGTCCATGGTCAAGTCACAAGAGCCAGGATGATTCAGTCATTTTTGTGTAGCCATTGGGGGAAGCGTATAGTACCCGCATAGTTTCGTCAACTTCGGATTGATCCGGAGGGCCATGTGAATCAGATGAATCAATCTCCCTGTACCAAGATTTGTTTTGATCTGATTTGAAGGGCGACCAACAGAGAAGCAACCGCTTCCCCGCGGTGCTGCAGGCCTTGCTTCCTAAAAAACGCGACCTTCCAGCTTCCGAGTCTGCACTTGCATCGAAGCAAGTGCACCCGCTGCGCTTGCCGCAAGAAGCCCGACACCAGGGAACAAGAGCGCGATCTCACGGACCAGCCAGTTTACTGGGGCGGCAACGGCAGCAAACGGGAGAATCGCGATTCCGATGGCTTTTTAGAAGAGCAGTACCCATCACCAAGACCCTGACTCTTGCCCTTGCGTCAGCCACTCGTTCACAGTGCCGTAGGTCCTTGTTCGTGGCCAACACACCGGTTTGGGTCGGACCCCCCCAAAAAATGGGTTAACTTTCCACTCGTGGGTCTCCTTTCCCACCAAAAAAAGAAGAAAAAAAAGAAGAAAACAAAAACGGGCGGGGGGGGGGGGGGAACCAACTCCACTAAAAAGACGAGAGCCCCCCACCCGGCTGCCGCGGGTTTCCGGTTGCCGCGGGGGAAAAATCGATCGATCGACGCACCGAAGCGACTCGAGGTGAGCGGCGAGGTCTCGCAGCTGGAGGAGGCCATGGAGGCGTCGGGCGGAGTTGGGGACCCCGGCGAGGGAAAAACCGATTTCGTGTTGTTTTTTTGTGTTTTTGTTTTTTCTTTCCGTTTGGTCCGGGAAGCCTCCGAAAAAAGGGGGGGCTCTCAGAAGTTTGGTGAAGACAGCATTCTTGGGGTGACCTACGGATCACGATGTCATGAACTTGAACAGGGAGTTTGGGCAACACATGATCTATTGGGCTGGGGACCCTCAAAATGCAGGGTGGTTTGCACCCCAAAAAGCATCCTTCCCAGGGTTCCCTCAAAAAGAGACACACTCATACATAGCATACGCGTCTTCGGTCCAAATTTGCTGCAGCTTATGGCCAATTTGGACATTGGAGGAACACAACATTTCGCCCACAAACACCTGGGCGACCCACTACCTGTCCCATGCTCACTGGGTTGCCCCATATCTTGCGTTGCTCCATATCTTGCGTTGCTCGGTCTGTGTCTGGCTTTAAGGAAATATGGCCATTTGGACGTGAGGCTGGTGAATGGTGCTTGAGGCGCATGCAAACGCAACACATCTGCAGAAACACATCGGGCGCCAGACGCGCCGCTCAGATTCGAATGCCGAGGTAGGGCGAACTTTGCGGCGTCAGGGATTCAAGTTTTTGCCGCTGGCATCTTCCGAGACCAACCAGCCACCAAGAAGCAACTGGACGATGGCCATATGCCGTTGCATGTGCTCACAGGGCCAGTTGCTGCACCTGGGATGTTGGACAAGCGTTTCTTCATCTGCTCTGAGGCTGCATTCGGTTGACCTGTAGCAGTCTGCAACACGGCAAATCACGTGCTTGGTGAAACACAGAAAACTTAACAAGTCTTGCCTTTCAGCACCGTGGTCATGACTCCGTGCTTCAGGATCTTTGGTCATGGACGGTCATGGGCCGTTTCTTGTTTGGCCATTGCAAGAAATGACACGTTTCGACTGGACCGGTTTAGATGCGGTTGTCTTGTTTCTGAGCCAGGACTAGGTTCACTATGGCAGGGACATGCTTCATGCCGACCGAGCACCTATCCATTTGTGGCTTTGCGCGCTTTCCGCGCCTTTTTGGCTCAGCATTTTGCAATTTCAGGTACAAAGAAGTGCCATAGACTTGTTCCGCCGGTTTGCGCGGTTGTTCCTGTCCTGTGCATAGTGTCACAGACAATCACTCATGAGGGCTCCAATGGAACGCACGCGCCTCAGTGCCGTCGCCACGTTGCAGTTGACTGTGGGTTCGCAAATCCTTTGCGTTTCTGATGTTCCGAGATCGAGCCGAACGACCAGATACATCCTAGGTTTCACATATCAATCCATTCCTGACAACGTGGGACGCCCGCCAGATACGTCAGACATGTTGTCATCGCAGGTTGGCATCAAGATTGGTTTCATGCCATTGGCATTGGGAACATGTGGAAGCTCCGATTTCCTGGCACAGCTTCTTTCCAGGAGACTTGAACGGAAGGAGAATCACATAGATAGTGCACAGGAGTAACTTGAGCCTCGCTCAGTCCATCTCTGGTGCTATTCGCTTGTTTGGTTGTTGCAGTCAATGCTGCAAATTTTGAATCATCGATTGCAGCTCCTGCCAGCTTTGCACTGGCTCATCTTCTCTTTGGCCCTTTTCAACAGATGGTTCCTGTCTGATGTCGTTTTTGATTACATTGTGGAACTGCGCCATTCGGGAGACACCAAGCGCATGATAGTGAAGGTGGCTCTCATCTCAAGTCTGGACAGCTTGTTTGAAGGGATGCAAGAGGCCAGTTTTGGAGGATTGCGATGAGGCAAGATTTGGAAAGGACGAAGTCATAGGTTTCTTTCGTCCAACCATAAGTTTTTTTTCTTGGGCTCATGGTGCAGTCTGAGATTGGATGGTAAGTTTGGGCGGCATTTATGCAATTATCTCAGCTCGACTCCCGCAAGGATGCAAAGATGATGTCGTTGGAAGGATTGCTCGTGGCCAAATCCGCAGCTATATACAGCAACCTTGGAAACCCAATTCAAAGTGTGCGAAAAGGTGAGAAACGGGCGTTTTTATTTGGTTTTGTTTTCTCCTTGCGGTCTCGAGTCGGGGGCCTGGCGATTCGTGTGAGCGGTCAAGAATCAGACAATTACCCAATGTTTCTCTGGCAATGGACAGTACTTCCCTGTTGTTTGTTTCTCTTTTTTAATTCTTTTTTTTCTGGGAATTGAGCCAACTCGTGTGATGTTTCACTTCGTTTCCCCCGGACGCGGTTGCCCCCTTCTTCGGGCGCGCGGAGAGTGCGCCATGCGGCTCCCCTCCCCTCCCCCGCCGGGGTGCGACTGAGTGCAGCCCAGGCGTCCTGATCGCTGCTGCAGTGGGTGCAGCGGTCGGAGCCCCAGCCCAGCGAGGAGGTCTCCGGATCCCGGCCATCAAAGGGTCCTCGGCTGATTGGTTGTTTGAAGTTTGTTTTTGGTTTTTAGGTTTTGTAGCTGTGTGGCTTTTAGTTGTTTTTAGTTGGTTTTTGGCTTTTAGGTTTTGTAGCTGTTTGGCTTTTAGTTTTTTTTAGTTGGTTTTTAGTTTTTAGGTTTTGTAGCTGTGTGGCTTTGTAGCTGTTTTTAGTCGGTTTTTGGTGTTTAGGTTTTGTAGTTGTTTGGCTGTTTTTTTGTTGAATTTTGTAGCTGTTTGGCTTTGTAATTGTTTTTAGTTGTTTTTTGGGTTTAGATTTTGTAGCTGTTTGGCTTTTTCTCCAATTTGTTTTTGGTTTTTAGGTTCTGTAGCTGTGTGGCTTTGTAGTTTTTGCGTTTTTGTGTTTGGTTTTTAGGTTTTGTAGCTGTTTGGCTTTGCAGTTGTTTTTAGTTGGTTTTTTTGTTTTTGGTTTTGTAGTTTTTTGGCTTTTTTCCAATTGTTTTTTGGTTTTTAGGTTTTGTAGCTGTTTGGCTTTGTAGTTGTGTTTAGTTGGTTTTTGGTTTTTAGGTTTGTAGCTGTTCGTCTTTGTAGTTGTTTTTAGTTTTTAGGTTTTGTAGCTGTTTGTGTTTGTAGATGGTTTTTAGTTGGTTTTTCGTTTTTAGGTTTTGTAGCTGTTTGTGTTTGTAGATGGTTTTTAGTTGGTTTTTCGTTTTTAGGTTTTGTAGCTGTTTGGCTTTTGCTTTCCTATTGGTTTTTGGTTTTTTAGGTTCTGTAGCTGTGTGGCTTTGTAGTTGTTTTTAGTAGGTTTTTGGTTTTTTGGTTTGTAGTTGGCTTAGCTTTTAGTTGTTTTTAGTAGGTTTTTGGTTTTTAGGTTTTGTAGCTGTCTGGCTTTGCAATTGTTTTTAGTTGTGTTTTGGTTTTAGGTTTTGTAGCTGTTTGGCTTTGCAGTTGTTTTTTTAATTGGTTTTTTGTTTTTAGGTTTGTAGTTGGCTTAGCTGTTTAGTTGTTTTTAGTTGGTGTTGGGTTTTTATTATTATTAGGTTTGTAGTCGGCCTAGCTTGTTGGTTGTTTTTAGTTGGTGCTGTTTGTGGGGGTTTCCGTATTTAGCTCACTAGAAGTTAGTCACTTTTGGCACGGGATCTGAAAAAGGACAGCCAGGTCCTGTTCGCCCACGTTTTAGTATGCAAGTTGATTTCGGGTGAGGTTTGAGGGCACCGATGTGTGGTCCTTATGGTGCGTTTTGTTTTTGGAGCCATTTGGCCAGTCTCTGGATGTGGGTCTTCCAAGGTGCGTGTCGTTAGGGGTAAGTTTAGGTTGGCAACATTTCAAGTTCAAGATGGGTTGCCTGATTTTTACGTAGGCCTTTGCCCGTGCTTGCCGCCTGCTTGCCCCACTGAACGACCTCTTAGGGGGCCATGCTGGGAAGGCTTACCATGTGCTTGCTCTCAATTGCTCGAAGCTTGGACTTTAGGATGACCTGGAAGGGGAAAACAGGAACAGCATAGGGCAACTTGCGCGATGGGGCCTGGATTGGATGTTTTGCCACTGCCGAGACAGATGCCAAGCCCCAACAGCGCAGGCTTTGCCCCCGAAAAATCCCCACCCCCCTTCCCCCTGAATATCCCCTCCCTCGTCTCCCAAAACGGGGCCTTCTCCGCCGCGGTCAAACGCCGCTCTCGCTCGCGCGAGAACTCGCGCGACGTGTCCGAGGCCCTGTTCCCGAGCGCCGCCTTGTTCGCGGTGCCCCGCGGTCCTTTGACTGAGCGCGTGAGTTGGTTGGGGAGGGGGCCCCCGGGTTGGAAGAGGTGGCCGGTGGCCCCTGCGGTTTGTCTGCTTTCCAACCGCTTGGTTTTTTGAAGGGAAGCGATTTGACCAGGGACATACAATTTCTCTACTTGTCTTTCCAGGGGGCGAACAAAAGCAAATGGAAGGAGGGTCAAGGGGTGACTCGTGGTTTGGGGAGTTGGCCCCCTGCGTCTGGAACCTGGAAAATTTGATGGTTTGCCTTGAACTTCCCCGATTAAGCAACCCCGATTTCGGGTACCCATCCGTTCAGCCCATGTGGTACAAAGTGGCTTTTGCCAGTTCAATCTGTCATGGGTTGTTTGCTTTGAACAGAGATTGCGTTGAAATCCCGCGGCGCAATAGCTCATATGATGTCGTAGATCCAAAACACGAGGTCATTCGCCCCTGCACCAGGCGGAATGGGGGAATGTTCTGGCTGAATGATCCGAAAAGGAAGCTCTCGAGGGTTCCGATTTGCAACAGAGTATTTGTCAAAGACAATGTCGGACAAAGGAAGAAAGCCAAACGAGCATGACCAACAGTTTTCAGACCACTGGTCATGGAAAAATAACAGGGTACACTTAGGGTGATTTTGTTGCCTGCGCGAACTCGCGGTGTCGTGGGGCACTGGAGTGAGTTCGAAGGACGCCTGTCAGACGTGCTTGTTTGCTGACCCTTGTGGTACCATCCATGCGCACACTTGAATTGGTCGGAAGCAGGTCACTTGTCATCACATGCTATGAAGGGAGTCATTAAATTCGGATTCAGAGGATGGTTTCTCAAGTTGGCACCGTTGGCATCACCTCTGGACTTTTTGGTGGACCTCTGGACCCCATGTTTTTGTGGAAATTCCCAAAAGAGTCCGAAACAAATCCCAAAATACATCCGCACCCCTTTTTGTTCTTCAAGGGTACCCCTTAAGCATTGGACCCCACATGAAGGGAGTCAAGGGCTTCCGGAGCTCAAGGGCCAAGTGGTCCCGATCCGACCGATCCGAGTTCCCTTGGAGCAGCCCTCCTTCAGCCGCGCCCAAGGCTTGCGGTGGATGTCCAAGCTGGCTGACTGGGGGTTGGTTGGTTTTGTTTTGTTTGTTTGTTTTGTTTGGCTTTGCTTTGTTTGGTTGGGGTTGGTTGGTTTTGTGTTTTTTCCTTGCTTTGCTTTGCTTTTCTGTGGTTTGCTTTGGTTTGAATATTCTTATGTTGTGTGTGTGTGGGTGTTTGGACTAGCGCAAGTATTGACAGTTTGACGGGGGCATCCAAGCCAAACCCATTGTGTACTTTGATTGAGTCCGCAAGCTTGCCTGTTCCGCGATTCAGCGCAGTCGACAGTCGACAGGCTAAACATTTGGTATACAGGACGTTTCCCGGGCTCCACACCTTTGGCCCAAGATGCCTTTGCCGAGGGTATGGGTGTGGCTGAAAATTCAAGAACTAGGGTTACGCAGGTGTTAGTCTTTGGTTCCATTTGCCAACGCGCCATTTTGGTACATTTTCTTTTTGACCCACAGCCGTATCACTGCTATGGTTCGAGAGACAGTGCGACCCAAGCTCCCCTCAAGTTTCAGCTACCATTGCTCGGGTCCCGGTCATATGACTTGCGGGAGCTTGCGGAAAGCTTGGCACGCTGGTCAAGGGTCCCAAAGATGAGCCCGTGACGCCCAAACATCACGTACGCTGGGCTTCATTGATATTATGATATTACATTTGTGGGAGTCCGGGCATGTCCCAATCCCGCAGAATCCAGCTAACCCACGAAATCCCAACAATTCCACAGCCAATTGAAGGACGCTGAAGTGGGGGTAAAGCCTTTGTTGAGTGCCGTTTGGCCTTGGGCAACGGTGGTGGCGTCAACGGGACAGCTCACCCATGATGAAGGTGCGTTCCTGGGAGATTCTGCCTCAATTCATTTTGGTGAGTTGTAGTATTGTCGCATTTAATTCCCGCAGCGATCTTCAACATATGTTGTGTCTGAAAAAAGAGGCAATCATATATATATATATAATAATAATAATAATAATAATAATAATAATAATAATAATAATAATAATAATAATAATAATAATAATAATAATAATAATAATAATAATAATAATAATAATAATATAATAATAATATATAATAATGATAATGATAATGATAATGATAATGATAATGATAATGATAATGATAATGATAATGATAATGATAATGATAATGATAATGATAATGATAATGATAATGATAATGATAATACTACTAATAATAATAATAATAATGATAATGATAATGATAATGATAATGATAATGATAATGATAATAATAATAATAATAATAATAATAATAATAATAATAATACTAATAATGATAATGATAATGATAATGATAATAAACAAATAATAATAATAATAATAATAATAATAATAATAATAATAATAATAATAATAATAATAATAATAGTAATAATAATAATAATTAATAATATCAATAATAATAATAATAATAATAATAATAATAATAATAATAATAATAATAATAATAATAATAATAATAATAATAATAATAATAATAATAATAATATAATAATAATAATAATAATAATAATAATAATAATAATAATAATAATAATAATAATAATAATAATAATAATAATAATATATATATATATATACATTTATACATATACAGATGTTGCTTGATGTGTTGGTTTTCGGGGTTTCTTTTTCCGTGGGAGGAATCTGAGACCCGGGTGGCTGTTGGGCGCAGGTGGGTCTCCACCCCTTTCCGTGGCGCTGGGCAGCGTGTCGCTGAGCCTGGCAGTGGCTCGGGGCCCCGGAAAAGGGAGTCGGATCGAGGAATCACCACAGGTGCAGAACTAACTTCCAGTTGCTTAGTTTTTTGTTCTTCTTCTTCTTTTGTTCTTTTTTTTTTTTTCTCCCTTGTTGGTTTGTAAAGGGAATCGATCACTACTGGACATATTTCTATGTTTTTTCCCGGGGGCTTAAGCAAATGAAAGCCAATGTTGACCGGTTGATTCCTTTCCATTCATCGTTCTTTTCAAAAACCGGATCCGTTCCGCCTGGTTTTTTGATGGTTTCCTGAAAAGAAGGATCCCGGGAAAGAATGGGGAAGGTACCAACTAATGCTGACGCAAGTTGACCCCGGAAGAATTGCACCCCGGTTTATTACTATGGGAGTGGGGACACCCCCATATTCATAAACTGGGGTTTATGAATCCGGGGTTAACATTAGGCACCTAACCGCTCTGGCACTGTGTTTGTTTGGTCAAACTGGGGGTTGATCAATATTCCCTTCAACCCTCTCCCTAATAATGGCCACCCCTTGAGGACCTTTTGATCAACCCCCATTTCGAGTTTGCTAGAACACATGGACCATGGGCCACTCCCCTCCCTTCCACCGTAGTCGGCCAGTACAAATTGAACGGAGAGTCTATGCTCCCCCTGAAGGGAGAGCGATAGGAGCTGTGAAGCGGATGCGACTGAGGGCGCCAAACAGTTGAGATACCATGGCTGTGGCTCAAAAATCCGGTACCAAAATGGAACCCTGGTAAGTGGGAAACATGGTCCAAAACCTGCGTAACCCCTCCTGTTTAATTTTGAGCCACACCCCCATGAATATGTCTTGAAAGCTATTTGAAAGCCTGGCCTGCGTAGTCCTGCACAGCGTACTCGTCCCAGACGTCACCCACATTACACGCGCCACACATATGAATATGTTACACACCTCGCACATGTCACTCACACGCACACGTGCAGACTTATGCCTCGGTCTTCATATTGCTTGTTCCTCGTCACAGGTGGGTGCGTTTGCACAAAGCAGAGGATGGAGATGAACCAATGGATGGATGGCGGATGTTTGCAGCACCTCTTTGTCAGATTCCCAGCTCTCCGAAGGCCAGTTGCTTTCCGGGGGGCGATTTTTGCGCGGTGAGCCTTCCGGTTCGCACACATCTGGACACCAACCTATTTACCCAACCTTCTAATCCCCATAACCCCCTTGGAGCTTGGCCCTCTCCGTGATTTGCAGCTTGAGCTGTGGGTGAAAACTGTCGCTTTGCCGAGGCCTTCGCAGCAGTTCGACCCCTTTCCAGAAGGCCTCTTGACGAGAAATGCGTGGGGGGCGAATGCGTGGGGGCAAGCAGGTTGGCTCTGGGGGCTTGCTGTGGGGGTCGTGTTGACTCCTTTCCCAAGCACAAAGGAGTCCACGCCTTGTTGGAAGTTGTGCATCACCACCACTGAAAATCGCTCACCCGACCAAACGCTGACTGTTTTGCCAAAACTGGGCGCAACTGCGAACCCAGGTGCCCAACAGAAACTTTTCTTGGTTGGGGGACTTGGGCTTGTTCTTCCAGAGGCCAGTCGTGTTTCCGAAAGATTTCCCAGCGCGGGTTCAAGAGCCCCGTCAGCGGCGGGAAGTACAACTTGGCCAGCCTTCCGGCCGGCCAGTTCCAAAGCTCCTAGTCAGACAGAGAAGGTTCTTCGAGGCAGCTGCATATGTTTGGGACCCCGACCGATCCACCAGAGGCAAATCATTTCCGGCGCCGGCGGCGAAGCCGCGCCCAGGATGGCTGGATCGACTCTTGCCGCCACCAAGCTCAGGCCGCGCCGGCCGGCCGGTTTCCTGGGCAAATTCCGGGGGCTCCGTCCCCGGGTATGTCATGCCGGGTATGTGTTGCTTGAGCGGATCAGACGGAAACCAAGACGAAGCCGCCCGTTTTGGGGGGGGGCCTCCGTGGCCTCCCCATTTTGATACTTGTGGGAACCATGAGGCGTAGGTTGCCTCGATTTCTACACGCCAAGCAGCAAGTAGCAAGACCTTGCGGCTTTCAGGGGCTCGGGGCTCTGACCAGAATTGCGACCTGTTGTACCCCAAGCAAGCCGAACCTTGGGTTTGTAAGCGCCGATGTGTCGACCTCGTGGTCCCTGGTGGAGATTTTGTGAGTGGCCGGTTCGTGGTTGGATGGGAGGCCCGGGCTGAAATCGGAGAGAGTTCCGAAGGCACCAGACACCGGTAGATCGTGCCATGGCAAGGAGTCCTAAGGAGGAACTCCTGCCTCCACTTGCAACAGGAGGGTTGATCTGAATTTGGCCTTTGTTTCCAATCCGCCTTCACTCTCTCGAGATGGATACTGTTGCTTCTCTCAGCTGTTCAGCGCCTTTTTGCCTTCCATTTGATTAAGAATCTTTTTTGCCCCTGTTGGTTTTAAAAGGAATCTATGACTACTTGAAATATTTTGTTTTTTCCGTCCTTAACCAAATGGAAGCTTGGTTTCCCACTCTAACCCCGAAAACATGGAGACGAGACGCCAGGTCGCGCGCCACGCGCGTGGCGTGCCGTGCCATGTTCGAGCGCTTCTCCCCTGGGTCCATGAAGGCAGGGGCCCTTCCGCTTGACCACTTGACCTCCCTCCCAGACTGTCATGCAATGGGGCAGCGAGTCGTAAGTCCTTTTTGGTTTCTCTTTTTTTTTTTTTTTTCAAGCAAATATTTCCTGTGTGGTGCGAACGAATTCGGAGCCCCGAATCATTCAATCTCTATTTTGTTTGCAAGCTGAGGTGTCAACTTCGGAAGTCTCTTGTGCACTTCGGGCCATCCTGTGCTACGAAGGCGGTGATGCTCGCGCAAGGGGAATCACGGAACCTGGGCCGGCGCCTTGGAGATCCGGCCGATGTTTCGGGCCCGGAGCGTTTGGCGCTAGGGTTGAGAAATTTCAAAGCGAATCCTGGCGATTCGAAGCTGCAAACTCTATGTGGCTTGAATGACTGTGCATGCCCTACCAAAAGTGTGGAGTTCAACCGTGAAGAGAAGGGTGGATGCGGGAGTTTTCAGCAAGAATCCAGGCTCAAGATAGATCCGGACTGCTTTGTATGTATGCCAGGTTTCACATTTTTGCTCTTATATCGAATCGCTTTGGCTTCGTCATGCCACATGCCCCACTCGTTTGCGCGATCCCCTCCCTGTTCTATGTTTTTTTTGGTTCCATCCAACTTTTTGCAATGGTTCCAAGTGAGTTGGAGCCTTACACTCCCAGCCGCTTGTGCACGGATCATATTCTCCAGCATCTCTGTGGGTACCGGCTTGGCCCGATCTGTTGCCGAGGCCACGATTACGCCCGGCACCCAGCCCGCGTGACCAGGAACGAGGGGCTGACTTGGACGATAAACTCAGCTGCGATCCTGCTCTTTGAAATAGCCAGTAACGGATGGCATTAGTTCATCATTCCGATTCCGTGGCTTTATGCACCACCAAGAACCAAGTGTAAGATGTGAAGATGTGATTTCTATCGGTTCGTCTTCAGACGGATTCTGGAGCCGCAAAGAGGGTACCGTCACACTGCAAGCTCTTTCAAGAGCACCCGTTGCCGCGTTGAGGCTCAGGCAAGTTTGGCCCCTAGCCCGTTCGGCGCAATCAAGAACCATTGGACCATGCCGTCCGCCATGGCCAAGTGCTGCGCAGCCCTGCTTCGCCTGCTGCGGAGGAGGCGCGGGCGCGGGCGTGCGCCGGAGGCCGACGCGCCGCTGGTGGGGCCCTCGCCTGCGCCAGCGGATGCTTCGGCTCCGGAGGAGGAGGTCCTTGCGCCGCCTGTGCGGGCGCTGACGAAAGTGCAAGAGGAATTCGAGGCTGCTATGAAACTTGGTGGCTCCCAGCCATCCGGTTCCTTAGCTTTTGGGCCTTTTCTCGTGTTTAGTGGTAGTTTCCGAATTTCACCCACTACAAGTGAGTCACTTTTAGCGGGGATCGGATCAGAGAACGGGCAGCCCAGGAAAGCAGCCAACCAGGAGATGCACCAAAGAGTGAAATACTACAAGGACTTAAACGGCGGCGGCAACCTGACAAAGCATCAGGAGATTGACGTACGCAACTCGGCCGCTTTTTCAGCCATACCTTTCGGCCTGACGATGTTGTTGACGTGAGGGATGTATGACATGTGGGTCAGTCTTTTTTGTTGGGGGTACTTGTGTTTTTAAAGGGTTTGAAAGGCAGCACCAGGGAAAACCACCCAACTTGGGAAGGGTCCACCCAAAAACAAACGACGCCTCCAGCTGAAAATCAGATTTCAGGTCTAGGGATCAACATGGCTGTGGGTCAAAACCAATGGTACCCTTTTGGGGTAGGTGAATTCGCCACCCATTTTATAACCTGTTATTTTATTGGATTTTGGGATGTTCGCTGGTACGGTTTGGCTTTCGACCCAGGGATCCACATGTCACCAAGGCAACCTATGGAACGTGCTCAGCAAGACCGCCCAGCTTCGGAGGCAGCGCGCCGAGGAAGGGGAGGCAATGTGCAAGGCCCGGTTGGATGTGGATGGAATCTGTCTTCCGTGTGCTGAAATGAACTTTTTTGTATTTTCCCATGTTGGTTTCAAAGGACATCGATGTCACTACTGGACAAAAAAGCCAAATCCAGGGGGAAAAGCAAAGGGAGGCAGTGGATCCACCCCTGTGGAATGTTAAAAGAGGACTGGACAAGTTCTAAAAGAGGACCAACAACAGGGGTTCGAAGAGGCGAAGTCCCAAGCGCGAGTCCAATCTCAAGCCTCCAGGCCGATGAGGGCAGCTTCACTGAGGACTGGAGGGTGGGTACGAACCATGCGGACTGTGGATGGACGAAATCCTGCACCACTTTGAAACCATGGGAAACCATTGTTTATTGGTATTTACAGGGGAATCATCATTCCATGGCTTACTAGGTGGTGCAGGATTTTGTTTATCCACAGGATGGTGTTGCTTGCGTATGCTTGCGTATGCTTGCGTATGCTTGCGTATGCGTATGCTTGCGTATGCTTTATACTTGGCGTACGGAGTCCAGCGAGCTTGGTGCCTCGTCTGTTTGTGTGTGTGTGTGTCCAAATATCACCATGCGCGCCAATCCAGCTGCTGAAGGTATGAACCGCGCATTATACCCTTGGTAGAAGGGCAGGCCCATAGGTCTCCTTTTTGGTTGTTTTGCTAGAAAAATAGATGGCCTGGTTTACCTGGTGGTTTAATCATCTACCAGGGCCATCTATTTTCCCTAAAAGGACACCTATGGGCAGGCCTTTTGGAAAGATGTTTCCAAGCGCCTCGTTGCTTTGGTGCATGTTGCATGGATGTTAGGACTTTAACTTTTTGCCAACTAATGGGTTTTCCGCTTAAACCAGTAAAAGTTAAGCTTTTAGCAGGAGAGCAGAAAGCAACCGAGTTCAAATCACCGTTGTCTGCTGTGCATAAAGACTGAAGGCCCTAAGAATCCACGGGTTTCTGCTCAAAGCAGGCATAACGTGTGGGCTCCCGAGTGAAGGTAAAGCCGTTTGGCCGCCCTGTGGCCAGGATGAGGCTGCAGCGGCTTCATAGCTGCGCCAAGCAGATCAGCTGATCAGCTCCTCGCACTCGCATTCAGGAGGGAACACCTTTAAAGGGGTTCCAAGAACTCTTTGAACCGCAGGCGAATTCGGTTTCGGCAACCCGGCTTCGTGTCCTTCCAAAGGAAAGCAACAGGATGTTGTTTTCGCAGCATTCGTTAGGCATGCCCAACTTGCGGAAACCGTTTGCGCGGAGACTTTTCGGCCCGAGGTGCGGCGGATTCGAGGGCGCCGACTACTTGGTGGCAAGGGCTGTGTGATTTGGCCAATAGGGGTCTGTCTCAACAGGAAGGGTGCCTTTTTGGATGAGCTTCTTTGGGGAAGCCAAAAGGAGGCCAACACCTGAGGGGCTTACAATTTGACATGAAGGAATCAGAAGGAAACCAAAAGCAGACACAAGGAAACCAAAAGCAAGCAGAATGCCAAAGGAAGCCAATATAGGAAACACAAAAAATGTGAGAGACCCCTATGTTTCATTTTGCTTGGAAGTACCGACACCTCCTTTCAAAAGGCCCAAGAGTTTCGAAGAGTGGGTGAACGGGGCACGGCTCATGGGAACAACCCGAGCGAGCGAGTGCTCCCGAAATTCCTTGGCTTTGGATCGGCGTGTGCGGCTCGTGCGCGGAGGCCGAAGCTGGCCAAAGCCACGGGTCGTTCAAGATCACAGATGGTGGTGGTTTGCCTGGGTGTTGACTTTATATGATTCAGGATCGACCAATTTTCCGATTTTGAGGAACCCAGCGAAGCCAAGAATCCAAAAGCACTTGGCACAGTCTCACCAGTGTCCCGTTTAAGGAGGTCAACGCCGGCCACCAACAGCCCTTTCTGCTTGCGGCGCAAATCTGAAAACTTGAATTCGGTATACCCCAGTTTGGGCAGATTTCTCCGCGAAAATTTTCAAATTTGGAGCCGCCAGCCTGGAGATGTTGGCCGCTGGCTTCGAATCCGTTGAGCCCAGCGCTGGTTCTGAAAAGTGAGGGGCTTAACTTTGTCCGAATTGTACCCCGCAACCTGTTTCGAACAGTTTGGACCCTTGGTATGACAACTTCCTGCCAAAAACAGGTGGCAGGAGAGCCCCATTTGCAAGTTGCCGCAGTTGCCACACAGGAATTCTCTGCGGACGAAAAGGCGGAGATCGCCATGCAGTGACGCGAGCGTCTTCTTTCGACCTATCTTCGAACTGCGAAAAGACTCGCGCGCCTTTCGCGTGACTGGTTTTTTCAGGCGAATCGGCGAAGAGGTGGCCTTCCCAAGATCTGAGGATGGGTGAGGAAAATTGAATCACTAGTCCAGAGTCTTGCTGCAACTCTGAGGTCTTGTCTGGAAAGAATAAAAAATCAACTGTCGGAGGCGGTTTGGCGCTCGGCTTTCAGCTTCCAAAAACAGGGGCAATCACAAGTCTTGGTGTGTGGATCCTTTAGGTTGCTCGTTGAAAAGGATGCCCCGACAACTTGTGAATCGGTGAAAGACTCCCGTCCACGGCCCTTCCGGGCAAGCCGTCGTGCCCATGGGATATCCTCTTTTTCCGAGGGAAGCCAACCTTTTTGGGTCGAACCGATGTCGCAAGCCACCCAGGGGTTGGTTTACTTCCCCAGCCAATATATATATATATATATTACATGATTTGCACACGCACACTATTTACATAGACGGTATGTACGTACTATGTACATATATATGTCATTTTAATATTCTTGCCAACTCTCTCTCTCTCTCTGTCTATGCTTGATGCATATATCTATATGTACATAACATTCAATACATATACATATACAGGCATACATTTGTTGACTAGCCGAGGTAGACTAAAGCCGAGGGGTGGTTGATGCCCCCAACAAATGAACCTGGGACTAAGTCTACCTTGGGGTAGTAAGAACATGCACTGCAACCCCTATGTATGTACACATATGTATACATGTGTATATATACATATACTGTTAGCGTACATCCACTTTGTACATGACCCTGGCCTTTGTACATCTACAGATAGAGCTACAGCCCTCGCCCGCAGAGACAACAAGTGCCGCGCTGTCACATCACAGGTTTGACACATTTAGGTCATCAGCTGTTTACACAGTCAGTCCCACTTTAACATGGTAGCGGAGCAGTGATCCCTGGTACACGATCCACGACCACAACCCAGGGTGAGCTCCAACACACACCCACAGGTTCAGGTACACAGTAGTGAGCAACATGGCACAACAACAGCAACAGCGCCAGGAACAGCAGCTGGAAGGAATCCACAGATACAAGATATGACCACCACGGCTCACAGGAGAATACAACACCTTCGAAGAATGGAAGTACAAGATGACGGCATACTTGGGACTACAAGACCCACCATACAACAGACTGCTGAAGCAGTCAGAGCAGTCAACAGGACAAGTTACAAACGACCAACTTGAGAACGCAGCACCTTCACAAGCAGTAGCAGAGCAATGGGTACAACTGAGCAACAATCTACACTACCTCTTGGTGAGCACATGCGACGGACCAGCATCTACAATCTGCAGGCAAAACATGCAAGGCGACGGATTTGAAACATGGCGGCTGATACATGCAAGGTACTCCATACTACTTGGTACAAGGAGCATTGGGTATCTTACACGGCTGCTAAAACCACAACTTGATGAACAGAAGTTCGAAGAGAGCTTCGCAACATGGGAGCTTCAACTCTCCAGGTATGAACAGGACAACAACGCACCACTACCAGATGCAGTCAAGATTGCAATACTGCTCAGCGAGACAAAAGGACCACTTCAGCAA